CCCCATATTCCACTAGCCACACTTGAGCATAAAGCAGAACCAGGAATAAAATCAGCCTCAGTCTGTTGCCACTTTTTCCACTAGAATATATTACACATGAAAAAAGGACTGGAGAAACTTACAATGGGACGTCTAGGCAGAAACAGATAAGAAAATAAAGTTTCAGAATCTGTGTTTCTGGTAGTTTTACACCCATTTTTTCTCAATGTGCATAGTGATTTTATTTTATTTTATTTTATTTTATTTTATTTTATTTGTATTTATTATCTCAACCACTTCCTTATTAGAGACTTATAAACACTGAAGATAGTGTGTACAATTTTGTGTGTGTGCATTTTTTAAGCATTGGTGACTTCTAGAGGGTCTGGGTTTGATACAAAGGAAACAACTTTCGTTTATTCACACACATTAAATATTCATTATTTAGAAGTTCTCAATTTTTTAAATTTTAACTTATCAGGATAAAATGTAGTTGATTTTCATGTCCTTTTACCAGTTCCTCATTCCCTCCCTCTCTTCCCCTCCCCACCCATCAACATCATACCCGTTCACTTGTCTTAACAAGTTCAAAGAATTGTTGTGATTGTTATGTCTTCTTCCCCTTCCTAACGTTTGCTTGTGTATTTATTTATTTATTTTTAGCTCCCACAAATAAGTGAGAACATGTGGTATTTCTCTTTCCGTGCCTGACTTGTTTCACTTAATAATAATTTTCTCTAAGTCCATCCACGTTGCTGCAAATGGTCGTATATCATTCTTTTTTATAGCAGAGTAGTATTCCGTTGTGTAGATATACCACATTTTCCTTATCCACTCATCTGATGATGGACATTTGGGCTGGTTACAACTCTTGGCTATAGTAAATAATCAATTTTAAACATTTATTAACTAAAGAAATTGTGCTAATACCGTACTGACTTGATGACTATAGCTTTATAATAGACTTTAAAAGCAGGGAGTGTCATGTCTCCAGATTTGTTCTTTCTCAGAATTTCCTCAGCTATTTGGGGTCTTTTGTGGTTCCATTCTTATTTTCAGATTTATTTTTATCTGTTTCTGTGAAAAATGCCATTGGAATTTTGGTAGGGATTACACTGAATCTGTAGATTGCTTTAGGTAGGGTGGACATTCTGGCATAAAAAACAGACACATAAACCAATAGAGATGAATAAATAACCCAGAATTATACCCATACATATATGTCCACTTAATCTTTGACAAAGTTGCCAGGAATACACATTGGGAAATGATATTCTCTTCCATTAACAGCATTGAAAAAACTGAGTATCCACATGCAAAATAATGAGGTTGGATCCCTATCTTATACTCACAAAAATTAACTTAAATGGATTAAAGTTTAATAACTGGGGCTGGTCCCATGGCTCACTCAGGAGAGTGCAGTGCTGGTAGTGCCAAGGCCATGGGTTTGGATCCTATATAGGGATGGCCAGTGCACTCACTGGCTGAACGTGGTGCAGACCACACCATGCCGAGGGTTGCGATCCACTTACCGGTCAAAAAAAAAAAAAAAGTTTGATAACTGAAATCATTAAACTACTGGAAGAAAACATAGGTTGAAATCTCCTGGACATTGGTCTTAGCAATGATTTTTTGGATATCACACCAAAAACACAGGCAAGTGGAAGTTTATCAAACTAAAAAGCTTCTGCACAGCAAAGAATAAAAAAAATTGAAATAGCAACCTGTGGAATGGAAGAAAATATTTGTAAAACATATGTCAGATAAGGGGTTTATATCTAAAATATATGAGAAACTGAGACAACTAAATAGGAAATATCAATTAACTTGATTTTAAAATGGGTAAAGGGCCCAAATAGACATTTTTCTAAAGAAGACATACAAATGGCAAAATCACTATGAGATATCACCTCACACCTGTTAGGATATCTGCCATCAAAAAAACAAGAGATAATAAGCATTGGTGAAGATGTGGAGAAAAGGTAACTCTTGTACACCATTGGTAGAAATGTAAGTTGGTACAGCCATTATAGAAAACAGTATAAAAGTTCCTAAAAATAATTAAAGATACTCACCCGAAATCCCTCATTCTTACATGCATTGCTTCATCAAAATTGAAAAGTTCTTGAATGTACAGGGCTGTTTCCCATTTCCTCAGCCTGAGATGCTCTTCAACTGCTCACCCTCCCCCATTCCTCATCACCATCATTTTAATGGTTTTTAATATTTAGTAACTTTTTTTCATAATTTCATCAGAGAGGTCATAACTTCAAGAAATTATCTGCTATCTGCTTTCCCCCAAATAAACATTGTGCACCACACCTAACCTGATATACAAGTTCATCCTTTGATTTATCACTCTGCATTAATATGGGCAATATACCTAACTCTCTCATACCGGATATAGAAATTGGGGGGAGGGCCGGCCCGGTGGCGCACTGGACAGTGCGCCACTTGGGAGCGTGGTGGCGCTCCTGCCAAGGGTTCGGATCCCATGTGGAGACCGGTTCCCACTCACTGGCTGAGCGCAGGTGCGGGTGCAATATCGTAGGTTGCGATCCCGTTGCCGGTCCCCGGTACGGGCGCAAGACCGAGGGTTGCAATCCCATTACCAGTCAGTAAAAAGACAAAAAGGAAAAAAAAAAAAAGAAATTGGGGGGAGGAAAGGGGTGGCAGGAGGAAAAGTCCTGCCCATCACTAAATAGAAAGTGCTGTTTCCAAGACCGATGCATACTGTGCATTCAATTCATATGGGTCAGTTTAATTGCCATCTACCGTTTTTCCTCTATGGACAAATGAACACACACACACACACACACACAAAACACATTTTTAAATCATTTCAACTATTTATTCAGAAATAGAAAGACAAAGCAAAACCAGGGGAAGAAGTTACAACATATATGAACAGGGAAATCGTTATGCTAAGGGAAAGATGTCAGTCATATGAGGCCATTTATTGTATAATTCCATTTACATAAAATGTTTAGAATAGGCAAGTCTATAGAAGGAAAAAGTAGATTAGTGGCAGGGTGGAGTGTGGGGTGTGACTGCTAATGGGTAAGGAATTTTTTTTCTTGAGGTGATGAATATGTTCTGAAATTAGCAGTGACGGTTGTACAACTCTCTGAATATACTGGAAACCACTGAATTGTGTACTTTAAAAGGGTGAATTTTGTGATTGAATTAAACCTCAATAAAGCTGCTATTTTTAAAAATGTTAAAAAATGAAAATAAAAATAGAATTACCATATGATCCAGCAATCCTACTATTGGGTATATATCCAAATGAAATAAAATGAGTATCTCAAAGAGATATAATGCACTCCCGTGTTCATTTCAGCATTATTCACTGTAGTCAAGTTATGGGAACACCCCATGTGTCCGTCCATAGATGAATGAATAAAGAAAATTTGGGTTATACATACAATGTAATAATTCAGCCATAAAAATAAGGGAAATCCTGCAATTTGTGACAGCATGGATGAGTTTGGATGACATTATGCTAAATGAAATAAGCCAGACACAAAAAAACAAACACTATAATCTCACTTCTATGTGAAATCGAAAAAAGCCAAACTGGTAGAAGCAGACAGTAAAACAGTGGCTACCAGCAGCTGAGAGGTGGAGGAATGGGCAGATGTGGTCAAAGGGTAAAAACTTCAAGTTAGAAGATGAACAAGTTCTAGAGATCAATGCACAGAATGGGTGTTGATGGATGTGCTAATTAACTTAATTGTAGTAGTGAAACTACGTGTACATATATCAAATCATCACATTGCACACTGAATATATATACAGTCTTCATTTGACAATTAAATATTTTTTTAAATAAAATGATAAATAAATAAATTAAATAAGAAGCAGACTGGAAACTAATTTCAATACAGTATCTTTAAGTATCTTTGCTTTATTTTTACGCCAACATGCTACTTGTGATCTACTGCTTAATTTTCTATCTTAACTGTTTAAATAGCAGACAGAGCAGCAATAAAGAGCATATAATCAAGGCTTTCTTCCTAAAGCCATCTTCCTTCAAATTGCTACCTAGTCCCCTATGAATGGAAGTGCTAAAAACTACACAACTTCCATATTCCCATAGGAAAAATCTTATGTCTCTGTACTACTTTAGAACCAAATTTTATTTCTTCTTTCTTAGTGTTAGTGCTTAAAGACAACGCACTGTGTCTTTGCGTATTTCTATTGCTCAAAGAACCTACATGTGGAACATGGGAAGGGTGTGTGTGTGTATTTGTGTGCATGTGTAAATGTATTATATAAATTTTATTTATATAAGTAAAGAAACAAATTAATTAATTATGAATGCATATCTCATATATAGGCCCCATTGTTTTCTTTTTCCTTTACTTTAATTTCAAATTTCATGACTATGCTGCCTCCTCTATGCCCCTGGGGAAAATTATAGTAACTACTGAGTAGGATTATGGTGAGCACAATATGAGCATATGTGCATAAAGTATACTTATTAATATCTCTCATTCTATATATAGTGCATTTATAATAGGAAAATATTATGCTATATTGGAGAAAAATATTATTATTTTAAGAATCCAGGCAGCCACTTAATCAGTTTATAATCTCTTTGCAAATAGCAATGTTAGTCTGTATTTTCTTCAGTTCTTAAAAACCATGGTATAGATGAAAATGTGTACAATTTGGAGGCAAACTTTTTGGCTTAAATTACTACTTCCTACTAAACACTGAATTTGAATAAATCATTTAATTGTTCCCAAAATCAAGATATTCATAACAAAAGTGGATTAAGTAGCATATACTTTATAGGATTGTGTGGAGGATCCAACAATATAAGTGAAAGTACTTGTAAAAGTAGATTTTTATACAAATTCCAATATTCTCATTACCCTTAAACACAAAAGTTTTAATTCATGGATAAATAATGTTACTGGTAACGACATTCCTCTTTGCTTCCTGCTTTCTATCATGATAGACATATACTAACTCTACTTTTAACAATGGAGGAAACATGAATTCTAAGACTCTCCAAACTTTAACTGGTCAGCGATCTGTCGTGAGGAAAACCCTCAGCACTCGCTCCCGAATCTGCTTGGTCCTGACCCCATAGATTACAGGATTGAGGGCAGGTGGAACAACCACATATAGATTGGCCAACAAAATGTGAATATATCGGGGGATGTGGTGACCAAAACGATGTGTGAAGAAAGAGAAAAAGGCTGGTGTGAAAAAGGCTGAGATAACACCAATGTGGGAGCCACAGGTGTTGAGAGCTCTGAGTCGAGCCTCCCAGGAGGGAAGGCAGAAGACCGCATAGAGGATCCTGACATAGGACAGAATAATAAGGAGCACATCCAACAATAACAGAGAAATGCTGCCAAGGCCAAACATAATGTTAATTTTGATGCTGGAACAGGCCAGACGGGCAATGCCCATGTGCTCACAATAAGTATGGGGGATGATGCGGTGTCCACAGAAGGGCAGCCTCAGGAGGAGAAACACCAGTGGAGCCACCATGTACAGGCTCCGCAGAATAGCGATGCCTGCGATGAGGCTGATGACTTTGCTGGTGAGGATCATAGTGTACCGGAGGGGTTTGCAAATGGCGATGTAGCGGTCAAAGGCCATGGCCACCAGCACAATGCTCTCCATGACGGTGAAGAAGTGAATGAAGAACATCTGGGAAAGGCAACCTCCAAAAGATATTTCCCTGAGACCACACCAGAAGATGCCCAGCATTTTGGGAATGGTGGCTGTGGACAAGCCCAGGTCGATGGAATCCAACATGGCCAGGAAGTAGTACATGGGTTCATGGAGACTGTGCTCAGTCCAGATGACAAACAATATAGCAGAATTCCCCAAGAGTGCAACAAGATACACAAAGAAAAAAGGGAACCCAATCCAGACGTGCACATCTTCTAGCCCCGGGATGCCCAACAGCAGGAATGAAGAAGGATGGAACTGGGTGTCGTTAAGAATAGGCATTCTTTCTGCCACAAATAGCTGTTGTGCACACCAGAGACAATTACTGACTACCCATTAGTGATTTCTACTCCACTTTTCACTTCATGCAGGTTCCTATTCAAATGCAAAATAACAATGCATTCTTTCTTTGTTTCCTTTCAGAAAAAATCTAAATAAAATACTCTCCGCTTATTCTGCTAGCCTCACTTGTGCATAAAACAGTACCTGGAATAAATTCAGCCTCACTCTTTGCCACTTTTTCCACTAGAACATATTACACATGGCGGGGAGCAGAGAGACAAGGGAATAAGAAATTTCTATCTGTCCAGTGGAAATTCATAATGGGGGGTCTAGGCAGAAACAGAAAAAAATAACTAAGCTTCAGGGTCTGTGTAACTGATTGTTTTACATCCATATTTTTTAATGTGTGTGGTTATTTTTTTGGTATTTGTGATGTCAACCATTCCCTTAGAGAAATCCTGCGTACACAGAAGATAGTGTTTATAACAGTATGTGTATATGAGTGTGCATTTTTACATGAATGTCTAATCTTAAGAGAAAAAAAACATATTTTTTATTCACATGAATTATAAATAGTCTGCCACTTAAAAGTTCTCAATTTTAAATATTTATTAAATAAACAAATTAACTAAGAAGCAGGAAAGCAATTAATTTCAATGTGGTGTTTGAGATAATAAACTACTTTGTTACATCATAACTGCTTTTGCAAAAGGAAAGTTCTATCCACTATATTTGGAAAATGAATAAAGTAAAGAAGAAGATACTTGGCAGAAGTATTTTGCAGTTGTAATTAAATATGGAATTAAAATTACCTCAATCTAGGGTCCGACCCCGTGGCTCACTCGGGAGAGTGCGGTGCTGGGAGCCCAGCGCACCGTGGGTTTGGATCCTATATGGGAATGGCCAGTGCGCTCACTGGCTGAGCGCGGTGCAGACGACACCAAGCCAAGGTTGTGATCCCCTTACCAGTCACAAAAAAAAAAAAAAAAAAAAAAAAAATTACCTCAATCTAGATAAGTATTTGTAGAGCCCCCTCCAAACAAAATCGTCTCTATTAAAGAGACTTTCTAGCAAGGGACCACTTGGCTGGAGAGTCATTTTTTTCTGCTAGTCAATGTTAAATCTCATCTCAGACTTGCATGGACATGGATGGATAGCAGGAAGAAGAACTTTATCCTGCAATATATTCCGCACAAAAACTGTTCTCTATCTAGGATATTAGTGTCATTATGGAGATCTTCTTTTTCACAATACAAATATAAGTGAGTTTGTTTCATAGCACTTTTCCTGACAATGAGAAAATTCTGAACTCATATATAATGAATTAAAACTTTAAACAATCATCACAAGAGATGTTTACTACTGGGCAATTTCTTATAGAAAACCAGTTCTACAGATAATGTGGCAGTGACTGATTGTGATGTGTACAATTGCACAGAAAACTTTGATTCAAATTTGGGAACTCTTGGATGTTGGAGAAAGTCAGAGTGGCACTCATCAAAGGTAAATACGGTCAGTACCCTCCATGTTAAACCCATGACAACTGCCCCCAAAACAACTGTACCTCTTTGAAGCTAATGAAAGCTGGCAGAAATGGGAGGTAATTTTAGAAATTCTCTCAGGAAGAAGAACATACATGTAAACTTGGGTTATTAAGACTGGGAAGGATAACTTTTAAAGTTCTCAGTCCTGTAACGAGAAAGTTGAAGTTAAGGATACAATTATGTCTTTCATTAGCGGATAATGCACAAGAGATGTGGAGGGGTGCCCTTAACAATTTATTCCATCAAATATCCAATAGATCCTAAATTTGCCAGCATTTATTTGAATAATACCTGCTACATACTCTCAAGAAGACCACAATGTAGTAAGGGAGATAAAATTTCAAAGAATAAATTGAAAAATTGCATTGGAAGTGCTATGGTAGATGTAAGTGTCGGGTGGTATAGGTAGAAATAGGTCAACATAAATTCCATGGGGGAGGTTAGGCTTATGCTATGACTTACAGAGCAATTCTTCAAAAAAGAAAAAAAAAAAAGAAATTTATTCCAGATGGAGAGAATAATAAGGACAAAAGTGCAAACTGAAGAAAGAAAGCATATTAGCCAGCAGGATATAATCCTGGAATCTTGGTCCTCTCTATTACATTTTACGGAGAATCAGTAGACAGTTAAATATCTACTGAACTTTAAGTATCTACAGACTCTTAAGTCTTAAGAAATACTGGCTACCTCAGTCAATATTAGGGGCTGCATACAACAGAAACTAAGGAACATAAAATATAGCTACACAGAAAAGAATTAACTTATCACACTTATCTTTGTGGATTTTCCAAAAGAGTTTTAAAACTGTGATTTCCTTTCTATCAGGGAAAACATTATTTCAAAGTGTGTAAACATTTCTCAAAGTATCCAGTCACTTAATCTTCTTACAACTGTATACTGTCTTGTCATTTTAACATTCATTGCATATCCTCCTACCTCTTGTTATCACATTTGGTCATTTATACATAGGTTCAGAAACAATAAACTGATACAGAATATTTTAGTGCATCCCTTTCCTCATCAGCTTTGCAGTCCTGTTGGTTTTGTGTGTGAGACATTGTATGGTCTTAGGTATATGTATACGGAAGGAAACATGTGTAGTCTTAGAAGGACATGAGCATAATTGTGCATTCTCTCTCTCCCCACTTTGATTTCCCTCAGTCTCTCCTTTCAATTTTGGTATAAGCCTTTCCCCGTCTCCCCTGTATTTCACAGCTGAACCTTGGCATGACTTACCGTGATCTTTAAATCTCTAAGAATGTTTTAAAACACTTTCCATCTGCTAGGACACATAATTTAAGGTGCTGAAGAAAAGGTATTTATGTTTTTACTTAAACTCTGATTCCCCTGGGGTGGAGACTGTCATA